AGCACCCTTTGGTGGCGAGAGGGAGATCAGAAAGCTCTCAAACCGTCCCTCTTTTAACACGGTGGGGAGAGCTTAGGGCCCTTAGACCTGAAGGGAGGACAGATAGGTCCTGACACTACCTAAGGCTCTGCCTCTCAACTCCCGACCCTCGCCCAACTCCTAGTCTCAGAAACCAGCAATACACAACTTAGACATAAGGCCCCTGAGGGAAACCGTACATAGATAAAAGATGGACGTTCCACTACCTGGAGTCATTGGCTCCCGATTCTGACTCCTGGTGAGCCCATGTGTGTGGAATAGAACCCTACTTCATAGAATTTTTAAGGCTGTGGCCTTTCAGAAGCAGATCCCCAGGCCTGTCTTCCAGGCACCTGGAGTAAAGCACCCCAAAGTCAAATGCCCATTTGTGTCTTGTCTGCAGCTATACCCTCTTTAGAGTATTGGCTGAATGGGCAGCAAAGCTTATCTATGACCTTGGGTGGCAAACATGATGGCAAATGTAGATGGCATCACAAGACAGATGCCAGGACCCACACCATGATGGTGTGATACCCCTGATCAGGTTCTCCGGAAGGTCCTAGCCTTGTTTCTTGGGGATCTTGGGGTACAGAGGTCACCAAATATTTCCCCTCCCTGCCACTATGCCAAGCACACCCTACAAGAGCTCTGCAAACTACAGCACCAGGACTACCCTTCATGCTGCTGAGACACTGCTGGAGAGACCACTATTCCACAACTATCCCCACCACTCCACTCTGACAGCAATATAGCTCCAGCCCAACATTTTATCTGCGGTTGGGTCCAAAACACTGCTCAAACTGAGATTAATAGGTATCTTCACCAGAGACCATAAAGGTCCCTGGTCTGGAAACCCGAAAGGAAGGGGCCTATGTTTGCTGTGTCCACGACCTTCCCCATGGGAAGGAGCCTTAGACACCCTGAGAGGATCTGGTGGAGAGTGGGTGCAGCTCAGGCAGAAGCCACAGGGCAAAGGTGAGCCATCTCAAGAACCCCTAGCTTGTGCATATCAGCACAGGCACAGCTCAGAGATCACCACCACCCTGTGGTCTGACATGTCAGGCTGAAGCCAACTTCAGCACACAAGAACTACAGGAGGAAAGACAGGATCTGATGGAGCCTGATTTTCCCCAGGATCAGGTGCTCCCACCTCTGTAACCAGGGTCTTAATTGGCCTCAGTGCATCTAACCCTGCCGCTCTCTTCACATCCACATGGAACCTAGCGTGTACCATTCACCAGCCTCTTTTTATACCTGGGGAAACCAAAGCAATGGGGCAGCGAGGAAGCATGGTACATGGCAGGACATGTCCCGCTCTGTGGAAGAGAGCATTTCTCTTGCTGAAGAGCAGATGGTGGCAAACACCTCCCTCGACTATTTCCCTAGGTTAGTCATTGGGGATCCAAGAGACAAAGAGCCACCCTTCCCTTCCATGTGGGCCAAAGTGGCACTTGAAGTGAGAGACTTCAGCAGGAAACTCCACACACTCAAGGAAGAAAAGGTCCCGGTGAAAAGCTAGGTTCTCACCACCCAGGTCCCCAATGGGCAAGGGCAGCCAGCTGCATGTGACCCACTATCCAGCTCCCAGACATCCCTCCACATCTACAGGCCCCAAGACATTCGAGCAACTAGACTGAAACAGCAGGTTGTGGGCAACCCCGTTCTACCCTGGGGCTAAGCTCCCATATCCTGGGAAGGTTTCTTTCCCCTTTACATTTTCTACTCTGCAGTCTTTTCTTTAATGAGATTTCCAACCTAGGTTGACACACTCCAATCTGCACCAGCATAATAAGGCTTCCTCTCCAGGGCAGTTTTAGAGGAAGTCCCTTCTGGGTATGGTCAGGCGGTCCTCTTCCCTCTCTCCTTCCCTTTGTCCCCTGGCCTTGACTGCCTGGCTGAGGTGGAGGGCCCTAGGGCTTCCCTGGTCCTACTCTCACTAGCACCTGTAACAGGAGGCCTGTGGAACACTCATCTTCCCCTCTACGCCATTCCTCCTTCCTATTGGAGGGCAATTGGGGTCCCCTAGGCTGGCCCTGAATCTCCCCCCCACCATTCAGGGGAAGTGGATGGAGATCCAGAGGAGAGGCCAGTGGATCACATGGCGTGGTCCTTGGACAAGCATGCTCAGGGAGGACACAGGGAGGAGGTGGCTGAGAGGAGGGTGGCCCTGTTGGGCACAGACCATGCAATCTGGGCTGGCCCCGGGGCCAGCTGGGCCTCGTCCTCCCCCTGCTCAAATGTGCTTCCACCAACCAGAGGAAACCCATTTACTAGTTTTTCTAATAAATCAACAATGCTCTAAATGCCTCGTTTCTTATTGTACCAGCCCTTGTTTCAGGAGCTCTGGTGGCATAGTGTTACATGGTATGCTGTGACCAAAAGGTCATCAGTTCTAATGGCCCAGCTGCTCTTGCTCTGGGGGATAAATACAGGTAATCTCCTCCCATAAAGATCTGCTACCATGAAACTTAATGGAGGGTTGGAATCAGCCTGACAGCAGTGGGTTTAGTTTCTGGTTTTGTTGCCCATTGGAGTGCAAATGGTTGAGCACTCAGGTTGGTGGTCTGAGTCTACCACAAAGGTGCCTCCGAAGAAAAGCCTGACAGTCTACTTCTGACAGCTGCTAGTTACTGAAAGTTATGAGGAAGCAGTTCTCCCCTGACATATGTAGGGTGGTCAGAGTTGGGCTCACTCAAGGGCAACTAGATTGGGTTTGTTTCCCTTTAAGCTGATCAAGGACTAGCTGAGCACAGGAAAGGGACGAATGAGAGAGAAAATAATGTACAGAGTGATAGCCAGTCGTTCTGATTTGCCCCTGAGAGTCACTGGATGAATCTACTGGCTCCCAGGCTTCGTACCTTATCCAAGGAAAAACTTATTCAACTATTCAACAATTCTTAAGATGAGGATTGCTGCAGGGCAGACTTAGTTGGGCAAAGTAGGTGTTTCCTTACACAGCTCAGGAAAGAGATCCTCCAGGTCAGTGGTCTCAGGCCTCACCAGCCACCAGAGTCCTCAGGTCTGGGTGGAGCATGGGAATAATTTCTTTTTAAAGTTCCCTAAAGGATTCTTTTTTTTAAATTTTCATTATTATTATTTTTTTTATTTTATTATTTTTGTGAGTGTACTGTCAAATCAGATCTGACTGGTACAGGAGGAGATTGTCCCTCCTTCCCCGGCAGAGCATCTGGTGGATTCAAACCGTGCGCCTCTGGGATTGTAGTTGCAGCTCTTTGCCACTAAAGGATTCTAATGTGGAACCAATGAGAACCATTGGCTGCTCCCACGCTCCTGGATCCTACTAGATAGTTGTATAAGGATCACCAGGGGATGGTATTCGCTACAACTTTCCAGTCCCCACCCTCTGAAGAGTCTGAATCAGAGTCAAGTAGGCAGAGAAGAAGCAATCCATCCCTTTGATTTGTAGATGAGGAAACAACAGTTTAGCTCCTCTGGTGCTTTTGCTCAGTGTCACATCCCATCACTCTTCCAGTGGTCACTAAGGTGACCACTGAACACGCAGGCCAGTCAGCTGGCCCCGTCACGTTTCTGCAGGGAGAGACCCCCACTCTCCTCAGGTCTTGACCTTCTTTTTTTTTTTCTTGACCTTCTGAGACTCAGTGGACTCATCTTCTGATGGTGATCCGTGGACCCCTGACACAATGGGATTGTGGGAACATTTGTGGGACAGCTCTATTTCCTGAGGTCTTCAGAATCCAATTCCTACCTCCCCTCCTAGGAAGAAATGGGACAAATCAAGGCTGGTCCACCACGGAATAGGGGAAGGAAGCTCAATGAGAAACAGTGAGGGATTCTCGAGACTTCTGAATCAGATAACCCTTAGAGAAGTGGATGGGGGCTGGCGATCCATCCAGAAATTTGTACCTGTGATATAAATCCAATGTTGCCTGCCACCTTAGGACATTTCTAGTGTGCAAATTTAGAATCCTTGTCTTCTAGGATGTCTGGGAACTGGAAAAGCAGACATTGGAAATTTCTACCTTTCAGAAATATGTTGTTTATGTTCTTCTCTCCAAGCTTGTTTTAATTTTAAAAATCCAACTTGGGCACTTGGAGAAATGTGCTAAAGGCTCTATACCTCCTAGAGGACCTCAGGGCTGTGGACAAAGCATTCCACAGTTGAGGAAACAACTAGAGAACAAGTTGCTTTCCGCATGCCTGCCTCCAGTATGAGCATCCTAGTGTCTTATACTTCATGAGCAAGAACGAAAAATGAGTGTGTGCAGAGGGACAGCTCATATGTCCCAGCCTCCCTCAGCCTGGCACCCCGGCCGGACCCCAGTAAGGAGGCCACACACAGGTCGGTTGGTCAGCAGTGGTTATTGCACTATTGGCAAATAATGAAATGTGTGTTCATTAGAGACAACCACAGGGGGCCAGCCAGACAACCCTCAAAAGTACCTGAACGGAGTCAAATACATTCTTAAAAGGAAAGGAATAAACAGAAGCAGCACATGCTCACACACGGGGCACAGACAAACCACAGAAGGGGAAGCAATAAATTATTGGCCTCATTCCTGCCTGGATGCAGGAAAAGGCACAGTTAAAGAGCAAAGTCTCCCCAGGCCACCTGCCACGGTCTCCCCTGGGTGGGCCCGTTGGTCTGGTGGTGGCCAGCCAACACTGGAGGCCTGGACTGGACTGTGTCTTTCTCATCCTTGGAAGAGATGAGCTTAAATATTTGGCTTTTTACCAAGGATTATATACAAGGGACATAGCTACACTGGCCTCAGAGCAGGCAAGTTGCTCCAAGTCCCAGGAGTGCCAGAGGGTACATAGCACAGGTCAACAGATGAGGGTGAACACGTGCTGAGGACAGCTAGACACAGACAAGTTCTTCATGAGAGTGAAAAGGACAATCCTTTCGAAGGCCCTGGGTGGGAATTCATATGAGTCAGGGAGACCCCAGATTTATGAGGAAGTTTGGAGGTTCTTCCCATGTCTCCTCCCCAGAGTCACAGTCAGCCTATGGAGTTCAAGGCCTGGAATTTCTCCCTCAGGTTTCTCACTCTGCCCTGATGGCTTGGGTCCACAGGCTCCCTAGGCCCTTCGTCCCTCAGCTGATAGTCTCCAGACTCCTGGACATCTTTTTGGCCCTGTCCCACCCCAGCAGCCCGCAAGCTCAGGCCCTGACTATTGCCCTTCTCATCCAGGCCCTCAGGCCCGGGCCCCTTTTCCATGACAATCACCCTCTGGTGGTTCTCCAGGATGAGGTCCGCAGTTACATACAAGTCCTCGTTTCCATCCAGCCCAGCCTGGGGTGGTGAACCAGGAACCCGGGGTGGTGAACCAGGAGCCCGGGGTGGTGAACCAGGAGGCTGGGGCTGGGCAGTGGCCCCAGCTCCCTGTCCCCGCTTGCTGGTCAAGCTACAGCAGTGACTCACTCTGCCTGACAGAGGTGGCTCCATCATGTTCTCGGGCACTGAACGGCTACGGTTGACAGGCAAATGGTGAGCCCGGCTGCCCTCGGTCGTGGGCGCCTCGTCACGAGAGGCATACTTAGAGCGTAGCACTCGGACATCAGGCCAGTTGAAGGTCCTGGTGCCGAAGGGACTGAGGGGGCTTCTGATCGAGGACTGGACCCCAGGTGAGGTGGTCTTGGGGCCAGCAGCCAAGGAGCTGGAGGTGAAACGCCATGGGGAGGTTTCTCTGGCAGAGCAGGGCTTGTGCAGACAGTGCTCCTGGACATTCATCTGCTCATCATTGAAGAGGGACAGCTTGGGCCTTCTCTTACCTGTGGGGAAGGAGAGCTGCCTGAGTCACAAGGGAGAGAGGGGCAAGCGGGCCAGGCTGGTTGTTGAGGTCTCATGTGTCATAACAAAAAGCTCATCTATTATCTGGGGCACTAAAATCAAAGCAAAATGGGATGAATGAAGAAAAGGCAGTGAAAAGAGGGCCAAATGTCAAAGCAGAAGATGAGAGCTCAACACCTCCACACAAATAACGTGGCCATGGCTGTGAGCAGGTCTGGGGGAGATAGTGGAAGAGCTGGCCCAGGGAGGCCTCCAGGGATAGATGACCTAACTCAGTCCAACCACCATGGCACAAGACTTTACCTCATCCTTTCAGTGGTTCAGGATCCAGCTTCATCTTAGGCTGAGGTTCCTTTAAAGGTCTACCACCCAGGTGCTGAGTGCCTCCCAATCCCAGAGCCTCCCTGCCCCTAAACCTGAGGAAGGGCCTACTCTCTGCTTCGAGTCATACCTTTGCCACCCAGTGGCTCTCCAGCCTCCTCCTGCAAACAAGGAATGGTAGAACTCTTCCCATTCCTTTCAGAAGCTGCCTTCTTCCAGTACAGGGGTGGTCTGGCCATCACTGGCTTACTGCTCTTGATCCGAAGGCTATACTGGCGGGCCAGCTGGTAGACTTTGTTCTTGACTCGCTCATTCACGTGGCTGTCCATCATGTGGGAGAGCTGCACAAAGCTGGGGTGTAGGGGAGTCACCAGCTCCCCGAGGCTACTACTGCTACTCAGCTCCTTCACCAGCTCCTTCAGCTCCCGGGCCAGCTGGGCCTGGCTCGACTGCTCTGTGGGGGAGACACTCTCTGGAGAAGCCATGGCAGACTCCTCTGTGATGGCGCCCAGTTCATGCTCCTCCAGGATAAAGAGTGGCTCGTGTAGGTCAAAGCCGTTGGCCTGGCCTTGTCCCTTGGGAGGGCTCCTCACAGCAGACTCTATGTCCTCCCACAACTTCAAAATTTCCAAAGACGGACGGAACTCAGCATCTGTGATGGGGACTGGGTTCTCAGTGCTTGCCTGGCTTGATCCTGGGAGGTCAAACAGGGCGCATGAAGACGATTGGGACCCTGCCTGTCTCTTGGGCCCCAGCAGGGCCACGGGTTCTGGGTCTGGTGGGGGAAGGTTATTGAATCTGGAGACCGAGTTTTTCACCAGCCCTTTGGGGATGTAAGAGAGACTCTCCCGGCGTCGGATGCTAAACCCAGCATCATGGTGCTCGGCATTTTCATAATAACTCTTGATTTTGTCCAGCAATAACCGGTCTCGGGTGGAGAGCAGCGGTTCCTTCTTGCTGCGAGTCCAGTCAGGGTCAACCGGGCAGCCTGGGCTAGAGGGCTCTGTCCCATTGATAGACGGGCTGCTGTCTGCAGGCCCTCCCTTCCTCACATCCGCATCTGGGGGCAGCTGGGAGCTGAGTGAGTCTGTGATGCTGCCACTTCGGGCTGGGCCCTTCTCACTGCCCTCCAGGCTGAGCACACTGCTACTGCGCCTGGCCAGCCGAGGGGACGTGAGGCCGCTGGACTTGCCATCCTCCACAGCCAGGCTGCTCCGCCGAGAGAAGCTGCTGACGAAGCGCTCAGCAATGACACCGGCCTGGTCCAGCACAGAGGGCGGGAGGAGGCTCTCGGGGTCCTGAGCAGCCGCTATATCCTCCTCTTCCTCCTCACTGCTCAGGGCCTTGAGGTCCTCGGTGCTCTCAGCTACCACAAAGTCCACCATGTCGCCCACATGGTCCATCTCCGGCAGATCCTGGTCAACCTCTGGGTGTATTTCCGGAACTTCTGGAGACTCTGCATCAGAGGGCATTTCCTCGGTGCTGGGACCTTCCATGGCAGTGAATACCTCCTGCTCGGCACCAGGGTCTGGGTCTGGCTCAGCCTGGGACACAATAGAGAGAGATCATGTGAGATATAGGACATATAGGAGAGGAGGGGAAGGCATGGCCTTTAGTTCTGGAGTAAAGCAACCAGAAAGACTGTGACTCGAAAGTGGGTGACAAGTCCTCAGAAAAAAGGACATGATCATGTTCCTTTGTCACTCTACATCTGGGGTGCTGGGCCATGTCCATAGCTTCAAGCAAAAACCCAAGAGGATACATGGATGAGGCAGAGGCTGTTCTCAGTGGCAGCCTGCCTGGGAATTACAGGGGTAAGAAGAGGACACACAGAGTCAGGTACCCACTGGTCTCCAGGGAGCCTCTCTCACAGGTACTCCCAAGGCACAAGCTTCTGGTGTCCAAGGCTGAGACAGTTTCCCTCAAGGCCTAGGGATTCCCACACAGATCAGAGTTCAAACACAGGCCTGAGCACCATGAGAGGTAGGGTGTCTACCTTCATTTCAAGACCAGGGCCAAGCATACTCTGAAATGTTGTCAGAGGGTGAGGGCTCCCATCAGGCAGCCTCTCAGTCTGTGAGCACAGCTCAACTTGCCATATGCACAGCCAGACGGGAAGAAGGGAAGCAAATGTGAGGTTTCCCTCTTGACCACCTTGATGGTAATTTGAGCCATAAGTGACCAGCACAGGCAGTGGTCTTTGAAGAGAAGACGAAAGCAAACAACCTACATTTAAAGGAAGCAGAGTGGATTCCACTTATTCTCATTGAGCAGCTGCACAACAGGACCCAGGACTGGATCTGCATGGCCTGAGACAGCAGCCACCAGTCACACAGCTTCTGAGCAAGTGCAACGTGGCCAGTCCAGAATGCGGCCTGCTGCTAGTGGTAAAATACGGCAGATTTCAAAGGTTTCCTATCCAAAAAAAAATCAATGACTTTTGATACTTAAATATTAAGTATCAAAAGTCATTGATTTTTTTGGATAGTCAAGATGATAGTATTTTGGAGAAATTGGGACAACTAAAATCTATGACAAAATTACTCTCACATGCTTCTTTTGAAATGTGTAAAGTAGCAACTAGAAAATTTTAAATTGGTACAGTGATAATGGTGAGAGAACACGTGCGGCTTCTCATGCATAGCCTGGCTGTGAGGCCCACCGGGAGTCTAGCTGTAGATTCATGACCTTTCCTTGCATCTTTGGAAAGGTTCAGCCCTCCTCAGCCCACAGGCATCATGGGCAGTGGAAAAAGAAAGAGGGCTTCTGAGACTCAAGTCTGATCCCAAAGCAGTCTAACCTCAGACAAATCACTCAACTTCTCAGAATCTCTTTTCTTTCTAAGGCTGTGGTGGAGAGCAAAAGAGAAGAATAAAACTTGGGCATTGAGAAGGTGTCCAATAGAGAGAAATACTCTACTTCTTTGTCTAGGTGCACACAGCATTTTAAATGTCTGGCATGCTAGGGACACAGCAGAGGCTCAGCTAAGGAGGCCTGAAGTCTAGGTCACTTCTGCTACCTGCACTCTTAAATAGGGGACTGCAACAACCCGGAGGAAGGCACCTTTTCCTAATTCATAGAAAAGGGCTGTCTGATCACCAACTTGTGAGCCCACAGGTGACAGGCTACCTAATGGAATGAGAGTTTCTGTGCCTGAAATCCCATCTGCACACCTGGAGGTCTGGGTTCCAGGTACATCAGTACCATCTCCCTCCCACCTGTTGGCTGTTCCATAGCTGCTCACCTCTGGCAGAGAAGAGATGGACTCAAAGCTCATGTGCTTCTCAGGACTTCCTGGAGACCGGCTGCCTGGCCTTCTGTAGCTCTTGGACCCTTCACACTCCCTGCGTCCCTTCCCCTACAGCAAAGAGAGGCCACCATCAGCTTCCAGGACAATGGGAAACTCTTCTGCCCACACCTGCTCTGAGGAGAGCCCACCTTGGAATTAGCCATTCCAGAACCAAACTGGTCAGGGAGGCCTGTGATGCAGGCAGGCGTGTGGTCTCTTAAAGTCCAACCCACTTTCCCTTCCAGGCCAAGTGGACTTGACCCTCCCCACACCCAACCCATTAGTCATGCTCATCAATCAGGCAGTACACTGGTTAGCATCCATTTCTGGAGCAGAGCATGCCAGGGGCTCACCAGGGCATTAACAGCGAGCAACGGGGTTAAGAGTGCTGACGGCAGGAGTAAAGGACTAGGCAGGAGGTAGGGGAGTGGGTTCTCGACAAGCATGCACGTGCTGGGGAGCATGCAAGGAGGAGGAGAGATCAAACAGACACCTCACCATAGCGCCCCGGGAGAAAAGTAAAGCGTTGGCCCGATAGTGCCAGCAGTGGAGGGCGGCCAGCAGGGAGCTGGCAAAGTCGGCTACCTGCTCCGCCACTGCCAGGCTCTCCTCCTCCTCCTCCTCCTCCTCTGAGCCTGGGGGCTCCGGCCCGGCTCCCTTCTTGCTGCCTTCATGCCCAGCCAGGTCGTCCAGAGAGACCTGAAAGGCCTGCTCCTCCTCCTCCTCCTCCTCCTCCTCCTCCTCCACCACCTCTTCCTCCTCCTGGGCAGCCCCTTCCGCCTCTGGCTGCAGGCCCCGGGTACGGGGGTGCGGCTCAAAGTCCAGGAGCGTGCCGGCACTGCCTGCGTGCTGTTCAGAGCACAAGACCCCTCGTGACTGACCTGGGCAACCTCCCCTCCTCCTGCCCTTGGTAGAGGGTAGGGTAACATCACACAGAAAACCATCTCTAATCACCCAACCCCTGGTCTCCCCTGGGGGTCAGCAAAGAGCAGCGCCTCATGGCAGCAGGGCTGGGGCCCAAGAACAGGGTTTGGTCAGGAAGTGAGACTCCTGCCCCCAAGGAGTCTCATCTGGACAAGAGGGAGGGGTAGAGCAGAGAGGCTCCAGGCTGGGGGGCCACCAGTGGGGAGCTGTTCTAGGAAAAGGGTATAGAGGGATCAACAGGGTTGGGGATCAAATCTTATTCAGCTCTACAGGCTGGAGCATAGCAGGTACTTGACTGGCCCCACCCAGCCCATGGCACCCATCTGCCTTACCTTCATCCCTGTGTCACCATTGGGTCCAGAGCACATGAGGAGAGAAGAGGGAAAAAAACAATAAGCAGGAGAATTGAGGCTCCTGACAGAGGACAGAGGCCCAGACTTCTCTGAGGAAGGCCTCCCTGGAGCCCCTATGCCCAGGGCCCTCATTCAGTCTCCAGGGCTTTCAAAGGAAGTTCTGAGGACAGGATAAAGTGTGGGTGTGTGAGGAGGAGCTGGCTCAAGGTACCCCTGGAGAAAACGAGGTGGGGGTGGGTATCTGCTGCCAGGCTCTTTTCTCCTCAGGGAGGGGACAGAGTAGAGTATGCTGTTTTGACAATCCTCTAGGGCTAGAACACTGTGAATGGCTGACCAGCCCCCTCACATATGTTTACCTTTCTCACTGAGCTGCCTGAGCAGGTGTCTGCTTGGCTCTGAGGAGAAAAAGGAGTTGGAAGAGTCAGCAGAGGTTGGGAAACAGCTGTGCTGGCCCTAGTCCCAAGCTCACAGCGCCACCAGTCTGTCACCAGCTCAAAGTTCGCTCTGGCTTGGCTCCCAGCAGCCCTCGGGCCTGAGGGGAAGAGACTTCCACAGTGGCCCCGAGTCCCCTCAGGCTGCCCAACCAAGCCAGGCCAGGCCATTCCCAGCCAGGAGCACTACCCACTCTCCCACATTAATGCACCTCGCCCAGGAGAGTTGAGTCCCAAGCTGCACCCCACTTCTGACCAATCAGCCTGGGTCTAGAGGCCCTAGGCTTCACCTCAAGCCCCACCTGCAATAAGCATGCCAGCACACTAGCTACACCCCACATCCCACCAAGCCCCCCTCAGGGCACCCCAGCTGGAAAGCAGAGGTCGCACCCGACTTCCTACGGCCCTTAAGGCCTGGCACCATGAAGTCTTGATGCCGACTGGGGAGTGTTGCCCGGCTGTACAGGGGCTGACCAGGCTCTGGGGACAGGATACAAAATACATCCATTAGGCTGATGGTGCCCCTTTAACCTCAGTTTTTCTAGGGACAGGCCCGAGATAGGAGGCAAGGATAAGGAGACACTGCTTCGGGGATCTCCGTCTGCAAGCATTGGTGGGAGGCATAAGGATGGTCACTATATTCTATCAAAAGGATCCGAAAAGGAAGACTCCTTAGCTGTCTTGGGCAGAACAAAACAACTTATTTTGTACTGAGAAAACACCAAGGGGCTCTGGTGGCATAGTCTGTAGGAAGTTGTGCTGCTGACTCAAAGGTCATTCCTCTCAGGTGGTTCAAATCCAACAGTAGTTCCATGGAAGAAAGGCAATTTCTTCTCACACAATTCACTGTCTCAGAAACTCAGTAGAGGGCCAGGTAAGAGTTGGTTCCAACTTGACAACAATGAGATAGAGAAAAGTAACCATCTAATTATATTATTATTATTATTTTAATATTTCCTCAGCATTGTATTTTCCTTCTTTTCAGACAGAATAAGAGGTAGGGAGTAAAACAGGATCCCACTGTAGCCTCTGAAATGTATGAGACCTCTGATGAGATGGCTAGTCAGATTAGATGGAAGACCTCTAGGATTCTTTTAAAAAAACCTAATTACTACACTCTATTAAAAATATGGTTTATATCTAAGTGCCTAGCTGATGGTATTAAAATAAGCATCAGTTGTCTTCTTTTTTTAGTTGTCTTCTTTTTAAGCAGAGTTCTCACCTGCTAGCATATATCAAAACATCCTCCTCCTTTTAGGGTTAAGCCTCACCCAGAAAACTAGTGTTGCCAGAAGTCTAGTAGTTTGGGTAAAAAGCTGGCTAGCTGGCTTAATTCAGAGCCTGTCTCCTTGCCCTCTCACTCTGTCGTGCTAGGAAGTGCTGAGAATTGTTTCCTACGTGGCTGCCTTGGGATCTAGGCAGTGTGTTCAGGGAGATTTTACACGGAAGGCTGTGGGCTGCAACACTCCAGTGCACAGTCCTTTCCTGGTGATGATAATTGCGGGGGGAAAGTAGACATGCATGCTGATTTCACAGGCTGTCCTCAGGATCTCAACAGCCTTGCTGTGTTCAAGATCTTAGAAGTTCACATCATTAACACCGGGGATTTGGTCCCCCTCTTTGAAGTCCTGCTCAATGTGCATCAGAGTCAGGAATCACCTTGGAGATGAAGATGCCTAGCTGGGATGCCTTTCCCGCTCAGATGTTAAATCCCAACTGAGCTCCAAGCGGCTGCTTTAGTATCACGGTTCATGGGAAAAAGTAGGCCAACTCACTGTAGTCTGGTGCTATACTCTGTCATGAGGAGGGATCCAAGCTGGGGGATTTTCATAGGGAGGCAGCACTGGGTAATCATCCTAAGTCCATTTTTTTGACAGGCCCAGTTGTCAGGACACAGCCAACAAAGACTCCACCTGCCTATAAATCAGTTTCAAACTGGAAGCAGGTAGGCAGAAGGGTCACCTAATTCTTTTTAAAGTAGGGGGATAAAAACACTCCCCAAAATAGAAAATGTTCTACTCTTTCACGTTAAAACTTGAAATCAGAAACATTTTTTAAAATGCCAGTTTAATGACACAAACCGAAATTGAACATCTCAACAGACCCATTACAAAAGAAGAAATTGAAAAGGTAATA